CAGAAGGACAGGGAGTGGCCTGAAGCACAACATMTGGAAACTAAAAAAAAATTCAAAATATTATAGATTTTAACTGATATAACTTACCATATTAAAATTTAGTTATTTAATGATTAGAAGTCTTCATAAAGCACAAGTATTTGCAAGATGCCCCACCCACACTGTGGTTCAGAAGGAAGAAATCAGGTATTGTGAAATAATTGAATGATATAACTAAAGCTTGTCAGCTAATTATCTCCAAACCAATCTTTGTAGTGGCATTCTGTGAATTCTGGCTAGATAGATGCACATTTCCTACATTACCTTTTTTTTCCCTCTTTTAATGAAAAGCTTTATACATCACTGGCTTCATTTTGTGTTGGAAGTTGATTTTCAGTCCAACAATACTGATACACAGTATATAGCAACAATTGATTGAAAATATTTAATGTATCTATTTTACATAAACCTGTCTGGCAAAGTAACAAACTTCCCAYTAATGGTTTTACTCTCCCTTGGGCTTCTCCTAAATATAGCAACTTGGAAAACTTGTACTATTCTTTCTCAGTGTCGTTTGCCTCAGTGGCCACCATTAACACAACTGAGAGTTCCATAATAGGTTAACTGGGCTACCACACCCTATATTTCAGTAAATGGGGATATATGTGTTTCCAATTAAGAAAACTACTTCACCTCTTCAAGCAATGTTATCACAACAGAATCAAATAATGTCTTCAGCTTTCAATGCATCTACAAAAGACACACGTTGCTTTGGSAAGGACTCTTAAGTAGCAGCATTGCTGCTATGCTTTCCAAAATCTGTTTTTTTAATTTCCGTATTATATTAGCAAAGGTCTTTTCCTAATTGTTTCTGGGAATAAGTGGAATTTGAAATTCTTAACTTTATTCTCATCTCACAGATAGGCAGGATGAAAGGTTTTGGCAATGGATACTGCATTTACACAGTACATGTAGAATAAACATGGGCAACAATTTAAAGAAAGTGCCAGATCAATTATCTGTAGGGCCCTATCTGAAAAATTCAGAACACTGCATCAGAATATCCTTAGCCATTGCTTAGTCTCCAATGTCTTGATATTATAATAGTTTTTGTGGCCATAAACTTCTCTCCCCCCCCCCCCCCATTAACTAAAAATACCAAACAAGGAAAAAAACACACTCCACTTTTCCTTCCCCTTACCACTTGCCTTCTTGAAGAGATTCAAGCAAAGTCTTTTTATCTCCCTTAATGGAAACAATGAAACACGTAATGCTTATGTATATCTGGCAAAACTCAGTTGTCTTTTGAAAATATCCTACTTCAAATGATACTAAATTTATAAAATTGCTTGCTGATAGAGCCACARCAAAGCATTTTGTAGGAAAATAATTGTCAAAATATAATTCCAGTAAAACATKAAGTGTTTCACAACACAATTCTGTACACACAGTGCAATACAGCTACCCTAACAGAAGGTAAAAAGGCTCAAAACAAACTAAGCAAAACAAGTCACATATTTAAAATGCAAGTAGCCTTTGATTTTCTGAGTTTCAGGTTTTATTTGGTCAAAATAAGCATCAGAAAGATTATTTCACATGCTCATAAACTACAATTTGAGCTATTATTCCAGTATTGTAGTGGAACTATCCATAGCATTACATAYGCTGAAATAGAACACCGAGATAACAACAAAAGAAAAAAAAACAGAACTGCAGCATGAGGGCAAAATATGTAAGTAGAAAAATCCTAAACTACTTTTCCTTTGGTTGCTACACTAATACCATTATTTTCTAATATAAATACATTCAGAGGAATTCTGAAAGGGTTTATTCTTACTTTGCTTCCTCAAGGTTATTTTCATACCAATGAGAAATATTTATGCAGAAAGTAGATTACCAAGACACTGAAAAAGGGRGTAACATAGAGGAGTGATCGGTCATCCAGATAGCTAAAACTTTCACCCAGGCTCCCATTCTCCCTTAACTTGATTACTGCAGGATGAATCATATTTCACTGTCAAAGCCCTTCGCAACCTGTCGCTACTACCACCTTCATCTCTCATTCAACACAGAAATGCTGAACTACCAGCGTTAACTATATAGAGCCCATCTTCTATATTTTTAAAAGAGTTAGGGGCCTTCAACTGTGTTTTTTTGTTCTTTGAGAGATATTTTCTGRAAAATTCCACAAAGTTGTCCCAGCATCTTCCTTCTAAATCAGTTTTTATTCCCCCACCCTGATCACGYGTTGAAGAATATGACATTGTTGCCAGGGCTGCTGACTAATAGTTCAGCCAATCCAACAGCAGCTTGATACTTCCCTGTGCCAACACCAGTTTTCAGCAGATCCAATGGTAAGCAAATGTAGGTAAGCAAATAAAGAATAAACTTTTAAAATCCCACCACATACAACCCCACAAATGTCCTGTGACCCTAAATAAGTACAGGGTTTGACAACACATGTTGAGTTTAAACTAGCTCAGTGTAGATTCCAATTGCCATTTAAGGAACCTAAATGTGCTCAAGTCCAGGAAATACGGTCTCTGAGAAATAAAGAAGAGAAAAAGGAATAAAAGACAGAAAAACAAAAATCAATTATAGGAATTATCATGTGTTGCATTCATATTATAGCATTAACTTATGAGGACATAAGGCATTTCCAGAGATATGAAACTGGGAAACATTTTGTAAAATATACCACATATTTCATAGGAAAATTACTTTTAATACTCAGGTAAAAAAAAAAAAAATGGGCAGATGACACAAGTATCTCACCCTTCCCCTGCTGCCCCAAATTTTGCCATCGTATTTCCAGCTCAAAGATGTTTAGAGGAGACTTTTCAAAAAATCTCCAATCAGGAATTTATTGTATGTCTCCACATCACATACTTTGAAGATAATTATTTTTGGAGATAGGGGCAGGTGTTATACTGATTTTAGCTGGGATAAAGTTAATTCTTCCTAGAAGCTGGTACAATGCAGTTTTGAATTTAGCATAAGAATAACGTTAGTAACACACCGATGTTTCAGTTATTGCTAAGTGGTGCTTAGCTTGCGTCAAGGATTTTTCAGTTCCCAATACTCTGTCAGGGAGGAGGTGCATAAGAAACCAGGAGTGTGGCCAGGAGACAGCTGACTGTAACTGGTCACAATGGTATTCCATACCACAGATCACGTCCAATAGATAAACTGGTGGAAGATGGCCTGGAGGATGGGCTGGGCACTGGTCAGGTGAGGAATCTTCTTGCGCATTCCTTGCTTCTCTTGGATTTTATTCCTCTCTCTCCTTTTCATTACAATTATCATCATTATCATTAGCATGATCAGTATTATTACTACTCTGTTTCAATTWTTAAACTGTTCTTATTTTGCCCCCACTTCTCCTCCCCTTCCCCCCGGCAGGGGAGGAGCGAGTGAGCCAGAGGCTGAGTGGTATTTAAGGTGCCAGCTGTGGTTAAACCAGGGCACGTTGCAACTCATTTAAAGCTGTGTTTTTAAATTTGCAACTAATTGGTATGTACATTTCATAATCAATATTCGCAAACATTTCCATCTGCCACAGTGAAAATAAAATTATCATTCYTCAGTCATATAACATTTATATTCATGAGCAGTAAATATTTAGATTTMAGTGTGAGGGCTAGAGGCATCAACTCTGTAACCACATGGGCAGTCCCTTAGGTACACTCAACATACTTTTCTGAAGCAGTCAAAAACAAACACACATTGCAGTGCTGCAAACACATGTATTTTATATGATACAGCAATACATCAGATCAGAAGAYGATACTGCAAAATAAAAACAGTGGAATACCTGACCGCCTGTCCTTTTCTTAAGCCAAGCCTTCAAYTTAAAATATTCTCTACTACATAAGGAAAAAAGAAGCCCAAACCACAATAAAGTCCWGTAAGAATTATTCCAACCAGGAAGAGATCATTTGCATTAATATTTACACAGACTGAAAATACTACAGAATGGTTTTTAACTTYCTTTTCAGCTTTCACAAAGCTGAAAGATAAAGCATTACCCATACACTCACATTCATATACTGCTAAGGAAAAAAAAAAAATAGCAGAAAAACCAGTAATGTTCTCGGAAATTGCAATTTTCAATTTTAAAACAATAAATATTTCTACAACAAAGTTCACGGTTTTCAACTTGAATCAGACCTTAGGTAGACAGCAATTATGACAACAGCACTGACGATGATACAGCAAGCCTGAGGAGAGCAGTTGTTAAAATGCACGAGCACCCACTACATTTTATAGATTTTACTTTAAATTCTCAAAATTGAGAARGTGGAAGCAAGATTAAATCTGTAATGAGAAGGCTACAAACGGATTCGGTAATTTTGAACTCCCCAGGTAAATTAATCTTACACGGAACAGAAAAAAACCCACCGCTGAAACAACCGAGTCACCAGTCACACCAACACTGCATGGGCACAGAAAGCAGCTCAAGGACCGAAGGGTAACATTTCCAAAACCATGAGGTCTAAGTTGTTTCTTTTTCAGGTCACCACCAGGCACCAYGCCAGAGCAGTAACACATATATATGCTGGCAAGGTCAAAAAAGTTCGCAAATSACACAAACCTTGCCCAGCAGCGCTTACAATCGAAATACCGAGAAGGAATAAAAAACAATTTAAAAACGACCTCAGTCACAACCCCTGGCCAGATTTTTTAGCCCTCTCCCACACGACAGAAAAGGAGGGCAGTGACCGCTCTCAGCACTTTGGTCCCTGCGTGCCCTGGACGGCCCCCGCGCTTTAACCAGAGTGCGCAGACCGACGGCAGCCCCGCCGCGGGATCCGAGCCGCCGCCGCCCCACCGAGACACCGGGGAAGGCGGGCGGGGACGGAGGGGAATCGAAGGCAGCGCACGAGCCTCCGTCGCCGCCCAGGGCCGCACGACCACGGGCCGCGGCGCCGGCAGTAAGGAAGAGGCGGGGAGGAAAGGGGCGGGGAGGAAAGGGCGGATCCGCATCCGGGCTCGCCCCGCGCTCTGACGCGCCCACTCACCGATCATGGCGGCGGCCACCGCGGGGGAGGAGACGAGAGGGGCGACGCGTGCACGCGCGCGCACGTGCCGGCCGCGCCTGCCGCTCGAGCGCTTTCCCTCGYAGCCGCCCCGAGGAGCCGCGCGCCTGCGGGCGGGGCGGGCCGGCTCGGAACGCGCATGCGCCTTGTTGAGGGAGCGCGAGSCGCGCGCGAGGCCCTCTGGGTAGCGTAGTTCTTGACCTGTTCACACCCGCCGCACGTCATCGCCTCACATTTGCCTCCCCCCTCCTCCACCCTCCGGCTAACGATTTTCTCGTTAATTGCTGTCCTCCGTCCCGGTGTTCGGTGCACCACGGATAGGTTCAACTGCCCGGCGCCGGGCGGTGCCGATGGGGCTCGGTGCGGTTTCCCTCCYGCTTCCCCGGCGGGTTGTTGACGCGTTGCCTAGCGACGGTCGCGCGGGCGGGGGACCGCGCGTGGCGGCAGGTGGCCAACGGTGCCCGGAGAGGGACCCGCAGGATCGCACCGGGGGGGCAGCGGCKGGCGGGGGTGACAAGCCGCCGGCGGACAAGGACATCAGGTGGTGACGAAGGGCTGGACACGACSGAGTGGGGGGCACGAGCTGGGGTGATGCAAACGGGGACTGGGGGTGGCGGCGAGGGGCAGGCAAAGGGCGCCTGTTGGAGGCAGGGAAGGCGCGGGACGGGTGTGTGGGGCTGTCGCAGAGTTGGACCTGCTGCCTTTTGTGACTCGCTGGGCACGGGGCGCTGATGTTCTCTTGTTTTTTCCAGTCCGTAATTTGCGATCTGTCCGTCGCGGGCGCCGCTGGGGAGATGGTAATGGAGGCGGGGGGCCCGGGCCCCTCAAAGCCCGCAARTGACAGGCTCCTCCGGCGGAAGGAGAAGAAGGACAAGCGACAATCCTGCGAGGGATTCACTATTAAAGCCATGATGAAAAACAGCGTGGTACGTTTGCTGCTGGTGTAGAGGTGATGCTAATGAACGTGTCCGAGAAGCAGAGCAAGTTAGAGCTGTGGATAAAGCAATGTCAGGAAGGTGTGCAAATTTCTAATACCTTATCTGGAGTTTGCCGATTGCTGAAATTACCTTCAGACTTTAAAGAATTATTACCACAAGGTAACTCTTTGTGCCTGTGGAAGTTGTAATGCTTCAATCACCAAGTGCTTTGCTTTGGTGCCACAATTTTTGTGTATGGTTTTGTAATGGCAGTGCACATCCTGTTAAACTGCCAGCCTTTGGAATTTCGTGTGAGGCTTACTGCCTCCCATTTAGCAAAATACTGTCAAGTGGTAGTGCAGTATTGCTAAAAAGTTTTCCTGCRCTGGCACAGTGTATAAATTTCATGTGAATGTCACAGATTATGGCAGAGATCTGGAAAATACATTCATTTGTAAAATAAGCTTGGAAAATAATAAAAAGCTTTCCCACCATATAGGAGAATACTGGAAAACAAACATTAGTTCTCCAACTTGTAGTTCATAGTAATTGATCCAGCGAGTTACATTTCAATTAACCGTCACAATTTCTAATAAGCTTGGAGGCTTGTGAGCTAAAATATTAGTATGAAAGCCTTGCAAATCGCTTTATATTGTTTTCTTCCTTTACCTTTATCAGAATTTAGGAATTAAAAAGGCTTCAACTAGTACAGAGTATAAGTTTTCAATATCTAAGTGTATGGGGAACTCCTGAATTGTATTTTTTTTATTTGGACACAGTYAGCAAAGTCTTGAATTCTCACAGATTTTTTAAAATCTATATATTACTCTGACAGCAGTTATGAAATATATTATTTCCCTTTGCTTTGCTGAAGTGGTCTTCCCAGAGCAGTCTGTCTGACATTGTTATCTGCAAGAACATCCTCTTAAAAACCCAAATGAGTCCACCTTCAAACAAATTTTAAATAAAGTAAAAATTGTGTACTTTGAAAAACTTTCTCCTAATTAGTAAAAGTAAACTGTCTTTCGCCTTAGATGGAAAAGTGCAAGGTGAACACAACCAAAAACCCCTTTATTTTAAAGATTGTTTGGTTTGTTTGTTTYTAATTCCAGACATGCATGGAATAGACTATAATACTTCAACAACCTTAAAGAGTAATTTTTAAAATATGTTTCCTCTTCTCTGGACAAAATTCAAGTAATGAATATTTGCACATATTTGTTTACACCTAAGTGAAAGATGATTTTGTCTAGAAGAATCAGGTTTCAGTGAAGTTTGAGAAGTACYTATTTAATTTTTAAAAAGGGACTGTGACTTGTGAGCATAACTAACTATGAGTTTAATCAGAATTTATGCTTCCTTTTAAATATTTATAGAATATTAACTTATATGGCTGCATTTTTAATTTCCTAAACAYCAACAGAACATTAAATCATGTGATATTGTCATTAAGCAGCTACATATAGGTAAATCTGCTGCCTTTGGAGGTACTCACTGAATAACAGAAATTACTTTCTTTGGCATGGACATCTGTAAATTGTCTGACTCACCAGSTTCCCACCTGAAGTGAGCTTGACACTAGCACTAGATCAGGTCAGTGATGGGTTTTCCTTGCTAAACTGTGAAAACCCCAAACATCAGAGATTGCCTGACCTCTCCAGGCAACCTGTTTCATTTCTGCCCTGCCTGTCTGCCCCCTCAGCCCTGTCAGAGGTTGGGTTTATKGTGTTGTGACCCACTGCACACCTTCTACTCATAACTGGGTAGGAGGGAAGCAGTGAAACTGTTAGTGGTCCTGGGAGATTTATAGTGCCAGGGCTATGTTTTGCAAAAGCTCCAACTGAGGACAGGCAGCAACYGGTATAACTGCAAGTCAGTGTGCAAAAAAATCTAGATAGAGTAGGGAACATCTCACTGCCACTCTGTCTGTGCAGAAGTGGGTGTTCCTTTTCTCTTTTCCAACTAGTAGTTAAATGGAACTTCAGATTTATTAAGTGCTCGCTTGTCAGTGGTTGACATCATTGATGAAGTTCTCATGGAAGGCTTAGGAGCTGACTGGAGGGTTGAAAGCACAGCAGGAATATCTGGTTAAGACAGGGTAATTCTTTTGTTAACAGCATGACAARGCTTAGGGTTAAACGTGTTTGGAATCTTCAGGTCAAACAATGAGGTATTGATTAATAGCCTTTGGTGAAAACATGTGGTTAGTCTTAAATGCTTAATGTAGAGTCATAACAGATTACCATTATGCATATATGATTGTARATAYTGTAGTAAAAGTTCCAGAATTCTTGGATGTTGCTTGGGCAAAGAGTGTTTTACCAAGCTGTTTTTTATGCAAGTTCCTGAGGTAAGTATTTGCTGAAATTAAGTAGGTCCAATATTTAAGACCTTTCTTGGCTCTCGCTATGTCTAAAACTTGCCTGTTGAAATACAATGCTTAAATACTCACCTAAAAATGTTCCTGAACTGAAGAAATTATTTGTTATTCCAAAACTGTAAATTTATATRGCAGTTTAGAATAAAAGCAAAATTCAATAAAGGTCTTTTACACTAACAAGCTACATTTACATTTTAATTGTTTTATCCTCCAAGTGGAATCAAGAATGATATGTGTTCATACTTTACAGGTACTGCATATAGAATTAAGAATACAATTAAAAATTAATATATAGACTAGCAACTATAAAAGTGTCTGAATGTGAATGTGGACAGCAGGAAGTAATCTCTGTTCACTTCTGATCCTCTCCAGATSATATTTTTCTATTTTCTGCAACTGTGCATAAGGGAATGAAAGTGTTAGTGTCCCCTTTTTCTGTAATGCACTAGTGGTAAAAACACTTTTTCAAGGACAGGATTCAATTTATTACTTAAAGGAAACAGTCAAAAGGGAATTCCACTCTATCTCCCAACTTTTAAAAGATTACTATTACATTCAWGTGTTCCATGGCATCAGTTAGAAACTGCCTCCAGGAGCAGGCACAAGGATAGAATGAGAACATCTACTAGATGGCCCTAGAAAGGAAGGGATGCTAAGAATTGCTTCTGGGATTCTAAAATCAAAGCAGCTGTACATAGAGCTATACCTAGAGAGTCTTAACTATGTTTAGGGCACAGCTTGCATCTCCTAAAAGAAATGTAATTAGTCATAACAGAAAAATGGTTATTTGTATTGCAGTTTTGTACTTTCATTTTTCTGTTCCTCATTTAGGAGTCTACAGTCTCTACAAAGAGTTGGGATGAGTTCTCAATCTTTGTTTTTCAGTCTTCTTTCAAACCATTTTTCAGTAATGTGTATTGTGAAGGGCTTTCTTACCCATTACCATTTGAAATAACTCATAGCCAGGATTTCATTTTAACTATGATGTGATTTGTTTACATTCTGAAACTTATGATTTGACATTGTATTTGTATTCATCCACACTGTGTGACTAAGACTATTTTTGTTATTTACCTTGTAGCAGTCAAAGTTTCTAATCTGATTTCAAGCCTAAAGGAAAGAATGCAAGAAAGGAGTTGTATCTTTTGATTATAATAGCTAATTKGTTGGAAAAAGTAGTGTGTTTTGCGGGGAAGTAGATGTCAAGTTAAATGCTTTGATAAATGTATATTGAGAAGTAGCACATCTGTCTTGGAGGARCTGCTTCAGTTTAACAATAGCAATTGTGTACAATCGCCGAGTGCACTTCAGTGAACATTGTGGGACAATTTAAACTGTCAGTGCTTTGGAAGGCAATCCTATCTTCTTCCTCTCCCAGGCTGTTTAGTACTGCTGCCTCTTATTGTGTCCTCATTTGTACAATGTTGGCTGATCAGGGAAATATCTGCTGAAAATACTCCAGCCTGTTAAAACTTACAGTGTTAAACTGCAGTCTGTGAGATCAAGCGAGCAAAGCTTCTGCTTCAACAAGGTTCATTTGTTCATCTGCCCTTCTCCCTGTCCTGACTGCATGACTGCATGCTTCCATCTCCCCTTTTGCACTGACATTTTTTTTCTTGCAAATATAGAATAAGTTGAATCAGCTGTAACAGCTCTTAAGTTAATATATGCAATGAGAAGGGAAGCAAGAGGATATCAGCACAAGCTGTGTGAGTGGGAATGTACCCTCTTGGCAACTTCATGGTCTTAATTAATTTAAAATCAATTATTATTTCAAGTTCTAGCTAAGTAATTCCACAAGCATTAACAGCAGCATAAACTTGCCCCACAATGGAAAGGTGTTGTTTTCATCCCTGGATATTTATTCTTCGTGCAATATGAACTTATGTATGGCCTTGCAGTGAACTGGCACTGGTTAAACCTAGATTAAAAGCAGCTCTGTATTTTTTTAATAGCAGTGTAGAGTTGACATACACTTTGGTAACAATGTAAGCTCTCAAAAGTTGTCATTGTGACAGCCCTGCCTGTATCTGCTGCCTATTTGTACCTCCTCCTTTGTGCCAGTACACAGTCATCCGATTGGATTGATGAGGCACTTCAGTTGCATTAGGTTCAAACATGAAAAGCTTCAACACACAGGTTTTTATTTCCCCTCATAAARTTATGTTCCTTTCCAATTCCATGCTTATATTTACTGTAATGACCTCTTTGATAGTATAATGTAAAAGCAGAATTTACAAGAAAAATACTAATGCTTAAGACCATAATTTCCTCAAAAAGCTTCTATTTCATATGTTTTYCAGCTATAATGTAGATGGCTTAATCACACTGCTCTTATTTGAAAAKACTTGAGAAACAGATCTTTTCATCTTGCACTACAACTGTGCACAATACCAACCTTTCACCACGTTCACAAAAATAAAGTGCTGACAAAAAGATCTGTTTCTTACCATAAGGATGAAGAAATCATGCTGCTTCATTTATGAAAAYCTGTTACACATTTGAATCTCCAGTAAATATTTTCTTATAATTCAGTCATGAGACTTAAAATAGCTAATAAGTAAATTATCGATTGGACTGTGTTTTGATTGGCAATTCTTGTCTTAAATTACTTAATTGATTCATGACA